GCAAAGAGATTCTATGGTAGAGACTGCCACTGTGATATATTAGGACAAATCCTTTGCTTCTCATCTCAGTGTGAAATTCCAAACACGACTTCCTTGCCAGAAAGATTCTTCATTTCTTGAGTTCAACTGAGCCACTGCCAAAAATGCGTACCAGAAACAGAACTCTACAAAAGTGATGTCCATAATGATAATTTATTTCATATACACGAGGTTTTAATTTCATTTCATATATTTCATGACATCTCAGGCACATGAAAATACACGAGAAACTTTTGTCAAGTTTTTCAACCCTGACGTTTTTTATCCTCTTCAATCAAATCTTTATAAAAAAAATCAACTTTACAGACGTGTTGAATTACTTCAGACATGACTAAATTGTGTTCACATTTTACAGATACGTAGACTAAAAGCATATTACTTAATTTTTTATGTTGAGAAGAAAAATAAACATACAAGGTATATGTTAACTTGTACTTTTCCATGTGTTGTTTGATTACTTATTCCGCATGTCCTGAGTACAATGCAATAGAATAAAATATCAAATAAAATCACATTTTAAAAAAATAACTGTACTGACCTGATGTGAGCGAACCATGGTCAAAAACACCAACCAACAATGTCTCTTTCGAATTGATGGTGTTAAGTTCTTTTTCATGACTATACGTGTGATTATGAATGAAGTGATATCAATAACACTGGAAGTGCTACCAATAATATGGAATATAAATGATTTTTACCTCCATATGATTCTACACAACATTGACGTATAAAATAACCTTCAGCCATGCTGGAGCAAAGGTCACAGGGTCAAAGGTAAAAAGGTTCAATTTTATCCTGATTCTGTAAAGTCATATTTCAAACGATAACTGAGATAGCAAACATGATACCATCAGTGATTTTGTTTTAAAATCTTAATCTTTATGAAAGCTTTGATTTAATGATGTGATGACGCCAAATATTGCGGGGATTTTGACACATGCGTTTTTTCATAAATAGTACAGAATGTAGGGAAAAGGTAAGATGGTTTAAAGGAAGTTGAAGTTCGTCTTAGCTTTTTCAATCACCAAGGAGACACATAGTCTTCCTTAAAAATGTCATGCAAGAGACGTATTACAATTATGTATGCAACCTCTTAGTCTAGTTCAAGGCAGGAAGGTGGCAACCTAGCCAGAGGAGGGCTCTACAATGTAGCAAATCAGTACAAACTAACAATTCAAGTTCATACGTTTATAATGTTTTTACTTGTACTATTTACATCTATTCTCAAAGATTCTCTGGGAAACTAAAATTTTCGTCCCTGGTATCAACGTGTCATTTAAGCGGAGGCTAAAAGAAAAAAATGACATACAATTATTTGCAAGTGATGTTATTAAATTGCTATCTGGAACGGCCAAGAGATTCTTAGTTGTCCATGCTTCTTTTGAATGTGTCTGCCTACATCTGGTAGCTTCTCAGAAAGAAATGGAAAGGTTCTTCAAGCTTTCTTACATGTAATTGTGTGCCTGTGGTCATGTGGGATTTCTATGATGTAGCCAAAACCATCTTTTCCTACAAGAAAGAAGGTAAGTGCTTACAGAGGTTTCTATGTAGTTCGTTAAGAACCTTGCTAGACAACTTGTCACCTTTAGGTGGCTACAGATCACCACCTTTGAGCTAGCAAAATGACAAACTCACACAAGTTACTCCAGTATAATGATTAGGTCATACAACTAGGGTACGAATCATGTAGATATCTGATACTGTAAGAATTCTCGAAAATTGGTAGAAGAACCTATCTTGAAAAAAAATAGCAAAGCATATGCGTTACACGCTTGTTGTAAGAATGGTGAAAATAAAATGTCTTTTGATACTTCTCCACACCATGACATTTTACCCTGTACATCTGTACCTGTGGTGTACCAAAAGACACGAATCCCTACATAGGCTCCATACCGATTGTATTCGCCGAATAAAATGAGAAATAACACATCGTCTTGAAGTAAAACATTGATGATAACAAATGAAGAATGAATAGAGAAATCGTGTCTAGGAAAATGGTTTTTATGTTGGAACTACATACCTTAGTTGCGGCTGAAACGTTGTCGTCTTTCGTTTAGCGACTTGGGGTTCACTAATTTGTATATCCGGGTCAGCCTTATTTCTGCATATCTAGCGTGTGTTATAGCTTGTTTATTGTAACACTGTTGCATCTGAATACCCAGTGACAGCACACCTCCAACCCGGTGTGTTTTTAATTTGTCTCTTCTTTCATGCACAAATATCGGAGGTGTTATCTACCATACAAAGATGGCGGTTTCTTGTCAAGTACAGCACCTGTGTTATGTAGGTTTCCCTGGCGAAATTGATGCCTCTGTATTTCAGGGGTCGACTACTCTACGCTATGCACACAGGGTCAAAGATGTAACCATCGATCAGCAAAACGGAACGAATTCCAACGAAAATTGTAGTTATCGTTGATAAAATTACACAGACGTGCGTCGGGATTCTACGAAGGAGCACGGATGTAGCTAAATCATGTAAACCACAAATGTAATTCAGGTATAGCCAAAGTGCTCTTCTACAAATATCTCGTACTGTAACGAGAGTCCGAATCCAATATGTAATATTTTTTTTTCTATCATACAACATATTCGTTATATTTCGTGGGGCGTTCTTGATGAAATTGCGTGCAATCTCCCCCATATATGGACTCGCACCACAATTAAGTCCTGTTCTAAAACACGTAGGAATCATTTATTACGAAGTTGTGTTCAGAATTAAACATAGCAAACCTGTCAAGTTCGTGCCCATCTGCAATCCGTTATACCGTCTTCATTACAATGTAATATTCTTTTTCCAATTAAGCTCTGTCTACTGCACATAATCTGATGAAAATAAATGAACGGTAGGAAACGTAGAGGTATAGAATGGCTATGAACTCCGGTTTTCACAATAAACCTAACGAAATTGCATAAATACAAATAGAATTACCTTTTGTAGGAGATGGTGGTTTCCTCTGCAGCCACCAACGTCGGTGTCCAAACTCCCCACTAGATTGTCTTCATCCTTGAGAAGTTATATTTTCACATCTCCACCTCCGACAGCTATCATAATTTTTCTCAGAGTTCGTCTTCGAGGTCGCGTCTATACGTTTGTTATTAATTACATCCATCAGAGCTATCATAAAGGGGTCAGAGAAAACGACTGGAGTCACGTATTCAGACTGGATGTCGCCTAATTGATTTAATAAAAGCTACGTAAGTAAGACAAATGTGCCGAATGACATGTACTATCGATTCGTGTTCTCCTATTCGTGGGCTGATGCCTGGACGTCATGCATGCTCCAATGGAGTTAATCTCTTTGGACTCACTCAGGAATAAAACATTGACATAATCATGTCAGCAATTTATTCGTCAATCTTGTCGGGTTCGTGGAAAGGGTTTTGGTTTTGTCGTGTATAGGACGTAGTTGCTATTCCTCTGACGTTTCTGAAGTTGTTAAACTCTTGTCGTGTTGTTTGACAGGTACAATTTAACTCGGATTGTAAGGCTACGCCCTGGGGTGCTTTTTTTGTTTTGGGGCATACTAGGGACGTGTATATCTGAAGAAATTCGCATTCAGTTCAGTAATTGTGACATTTTTTACCGTAAATGGGTCGAGGATATTTCAGTAATGGTTATAAGTGTACAGAATTAGCTTTAGCGTGAAGTCCAATCTACACTAACTACCTACAAGACCGTGTTTTATATACCCAGGAAAAGAAATAGCACCAAAACAATTGAATGCGTTTGAGACGCATTCTTTTCAGCAGTTTGCACTATATCAAAACATTAGGCGTAATCGTTACATATTACACAGGTTTAACATATTTTAAAAGAGATACAGACAAAAAAATATAGGTAGCTATAAAGTGGGTGTCTATTGTTCCTAAACCTAGCCTCATAAGCCAGATTCGATAAAAAAATAAGCTAGCTCACATATTATATTTCTGTGTAGACATAACTCATTATAATTTTGTTTGTAAATTATCATATGTGGCTCACTGTAGCTGAAGTTTTCGAATCAGATATCCTGAACCGTACCGGCAAATAACCACATGTTCGAACCCAAAGCCCAATACAACTATTGGAAAAACAACAAACTTGAACTCTCCCATCGAAGACGTGGTAGATTAATTTCTTCTTATGGCCTGTTACTAATAAGAAGAGTTGGTCTGCACACCGGTGTGTCTAGACATCCCGTGCACTCCATATAACCCGTGGATATTGCTTATACGAAACATGAAGCGTTATACAGGCGCTTTTGTCGAAATCAGCAAATCACTCTCTTCCCCCTCCACAAGATCCATTTGCTGATTGCTCGGGCAAGTATCGTTCATTCTAGTCCAGAGTTAAGCTGCTGCCTTTTCATCTTCCTCTGAGGTATTCCTGTGTTGGACTAACTACGGCCACTCTGGGTGGAAAGTGGGCATATTGGATAGACCAGAGACCTTCCCTGATTGCAAGAAACTGCACATAAAACCGATAAGCGCAGATCCAGAAGGATCCCCCGCTCCGACATTGTCTTACAAGTGATCTTTTAAAATCGACCTGTTGAATGAAGCTATTTGTATTAATGATGGCGGAAGATTTGTATAGGTCTGTGGCATTTGGATCTGGCTGGCGGACTTTGTTTGTGACTGAGCTTTGAACAATTTGGCTACATTTTGAGATTTACATAGGAAACATGGTACACATTGCTCTGATCTGAACTTTTCGCCTCTCACATGACCAGTTTTGAGTCGTTACAAGTCTTAACAACTTGCCCCTGGGTCCTCTACTTGCAGCCTATTGCCGGCCCCATATTGACTTATTTTATCCTTAGTATAGAATTTCCTGCGAGATTTTATTCATTGTCATTAACATCATTAACATTGGTAAATGTAACATCTTTAGTTTATTAGTAAAAAGATATACCAAATAAGTTTATACTATGGATAGACAAGTGTGCACTTATTTATAGTTTCTGTTGTGTACAAAAGAACGTGTGCTATTACTACTAATGTCCCAAATGTGTCTACATGAAAAAGATCGTCGAAGAATATTTACAAAACACTTACCCATCTATTTCTATGCAATATTACATTGTGATATACACAAGCAAATGATATATGTATCTATTTCTGTAGGACTTTCGGTATAAGTTGTATTTTTCGCCGTGTCTATACGTAGTATGTGACCCAATGATTGTCAAGAGCGATACACATAAAAGTACTAAACTTCGCTATTTGGCGAGAAACGATGATATAGAAATAGTCAAACTTGTGATGCGTAGCAATAGTTTTGCTGTGTCCGAGTTAGTAGTGTCCCAAGCAGCTTTGTGCATGTATATAGTAAACATATCTGAATCATAACCATCTACAGTATATCCTACCCGTACATGTTTTGTACAATATCCTAGCAGGCCATTGCAGCCTACTCACTACAGATTATGAAAAAAAATGATGTAGAATTATATTTTAGATTTGCTTCTGACTACAGATAAGGTACTGGTAGAAAGATTTGGATGTGTAGTAGTAGTAGTATATTTTTGGTGTTAGTTTAAGTCAGTTTCCAGGGCAGTGCCGGTGTGTGCTCTGAACGCTTCTTCCTCGTGCCTTTGTTTCATTCGCTTCATCTTCATCCGTCTGTTCTGGAACCAAATCTTCACCTGCCTGTCTGTCAGGTTCACCTGTAAGTATACAAACGACAACGACATGTTCTTGTTTTGCCAAAACAATGTTTTGAGAAGCAATACTTTCAATGTATCTTCACGCCATGTATGCTGTACACTACACTGTGCGTTTTAACCAAGATCGGCAACGAAACCTATCTATATTTTCCTTACTCAACCAGACAAACCTTCCATTAAAAACATATCTATTCTTTAACTGAAGTATAACTGAAAAGCGAAAAGAAATTGAATATATCTAATGATGTTTAGCGTTATTTCAATCTGTTAACTGCATATGTGCACCGTGTTTTGTTGTGACCTGTACTTAGACCAGGGTATACGTAGCAAAAATGTGCAATAAAGGTATTCATTTTTAAAAGGATTGTGACAAAACATAGGGACCTTATAGATCCAGTTAGACATCACAAACTTGATCGTACATGGAAAGCATGGATGCAATTTTGGATGGTAGATTTGCTAACACGACAACACATGTGCAGTTTTACATACAAGTTGCTGGGTTGAGAGAAGCATACGTTGGTTGCACTGAAAAATGGAAGTAAAATTTTTTTGTTGCCTCATACTTAGAGATGACTAACATGGGAGTTATAGATTTTAAAATTTCCAAATATATATTTGACACACAGTTAGTTTAACGTAGCCATGATTAAATTTAAACGCTGTGTACCGTAGCCAACCATGCATATATAACCAGTTACATTTACCCAACCACCTCCGCAAATCTAATTTTGTTTTTCTCTCACACACAAATGTTTTACACGAAATCTTTTCTTCTTGAACATCACAAAGAGTGTACCATTTGAGTAAGAATTTCGTTAACAAATGCATTAAATGAACACTGCACGGCATTTGTTTATAATTTGGTACCTAGTACTGCAACAGCAAATTCTTGCGTTGATTTGATTTTGCCGTAAACGTAAGTGTTGTACATGTATATTACTATCGTCCACATGGATTCACAGTAATACTTACACAGTAAGACTGCTAGTTAGAAATCCTACCGAAGCAGCTTATATTTTGTTTATTTTTTATATTGATTGTATAAGTAAACTCCTACTGTTATTGTGTATCCAAGTATACCAGCAACAAATTTAGATCTTGAATAATTTTTAGCTGTACGTTGCAATGGTAATAAATACATGTTATGTATTACGAGTGTCAGATAAACAATAAAAGAAAGGTGCAATGATATGTATATATAAGTATATCTTTGATATATGTTGTGTACGTAAACTCCTACTGTTGTTGTGTATCCAAGAATACCAGCAGCAAATTTAGAACTTGACTAGTTTTTAGTTGTATGTTACAACGATGTTATGTATTTGAGTGTCATATAAACGATAAAAGAAAGGTGCAATGATATACATATATGTATATATGAGTATATATTTGGTATAGATTGTATAAGTAAACTCCCACTGTTATTGTGTATCCAAGAATACCAGCAACAAATTTGAAACTTGACTAGTTTTTAGTTGTATGTTGCAATGATGTTATGTATTTGAGTGCCATATAAACGATAAAAGAGAGGTGCAATGATATACATATATGTATATATGAGTATATATTTGGTATAGATTGTACAAGTAAACTCCCACTGTTATTGTGTATCCAAGAATACCAGCAGCAAATTTAGAACTTGACTAGTTCTTAGTTGTATGTTGCAATGATAAGGTCATATAAACGATACAAGAAAGGTGTAATGGTTTGTATATATGAGTATGACCTTGCGTGCTATCTCTCCCCTTTGCTCCCTTGTGATGTACATGTTGTAGAGAAATTCCTTCTCTAGTTCCAGAAGTTGAACCTTGGAGTACGGACAACGTTTCTTCCTAGAGCTCTGAAGCTTCCACCAGACATCCGAACCTGCAACAACAACCAGAACATTCGCTACATCACTCAACTTAAAAATCCACGTGCAGGACAATTCAGTAAACAACATATTGTAAACACACACACGTTACCATACCCCACATGGAAAGGAAAATTCTTGACTCTTTTGGTACCGCATTTTCTAGTGACCGAAATGTTTGTAATCCAAGAATTTTGTTCGAAGAAAACTATATTATGGAGTTAAAGATATAAGGTGAAAAGATGCCTTCAATTTTTTTCGAAGAAAATAAAAAAACTGAGAGTCTAAAAAAGTAGATCGTAGTTGTAGACAGTTTATAAACAAACTATAACATGTGTTCAGGGTTTGGTGAGAAAGAGATTTTGCGCCAAGAACATTTTCAGAGTAGGTGCCACTTGTCCGTTTTTGTTTATCATCGGAAATCAGAATAGGAAAAACATATTTTGGATCCTCACGATTTTACGGTCAGGGTCAACTCATTTTCACAGCATGAAATGGCCTGATAAATTTCTGAACGACGTGATAAAAAAGTTGAACATCCAAACACATTTTCACGGTTTCATTCTTTAGATACATATGGTGTCTCTGAAACGATCTCTATAATATCAAGTCGCTTTATGATTACATTTATTAGATAGGTATTAGCATCACATTCTATCTATGACAAAAAGGAAGGAAAAATGAATTAAAAAGCACCTGCATGTATTTCATAACAGTTTAGTATTGAGCATATTTTGATTAGTAAACTAGACCAGAAAGAAACAGGTATCATTGCAATACACTTTTGCGGGATAGCGCCAAAAAGTTATCATTTATTAATCTGCTTCAAATCTCTCGCTCGTTTAATCTAGCTCTATCTAGTCACTATATTGTGTGACAAGAACAAGGAAAATACATTTTTAAGTCTATGATATTTTATATGTATATATAGTCAAGTCAAGACCTATCGGTAAAGTGTTAGGTTTGCGTTAGGTAGCCATAGGTAAGGGTTAGATATTTACAAATGTACATGAATGTTGTGGTATACCATTCGGATCGGCATCTGTGTCCCCACTGCAGTGTGCAGTGTCTCCTTTCTTGGAGTCCTTAGAGCAGCCACTATCCTCACTGGCTGACCTTTCGATGTTGGCGGGACAGAGACCAACTTGGAAGCGTTTGTCGTTGTCTAAGTTGGCGCTATGCCCCTCCTGAAACCCGTGATACATGTACCTCTGTCCGTAAAGCCATGTGGGGGAAGGGAACATGCGATGCGTCGCACAAAACGAAGAAAATCCGGAGGTCCCATTGTAATGTATGTAAGACATCGCGTCTCGGTCATCCGAGTGATTCTGACTTGTACTTAAACTTTAAGACGTCCTGCTGGGAGCCTTTCGGGACTGTTTGGCGCACCTTAAAGACACCTCCGAGGCAATTGGCGGAGAGGCCCTCGGTACAGAGGTTAAAGGTTGCTCGGTCGTTATTACATTTGCGGGTATGTAGGGGGAGGGGGGGGGGTGAGTGGTGAAGAAAAGAAATTCGACTCCAATGCCTGCTCTGAGCTTTACGATTCTGTAACATTAACGACAAGATTATCAGATTGGTAGAAATACTTTTGACGTTACAACGATAATCATAACACAGTACAACTAGTACTAGTACTATTTGTGGAGAAGCAATAGCCTTTTTGTCCTAGAAACACCCTCGACATTTATCTTTGTATTAAATTTGATTTGTTACAGTTGAAGGAGGAGAGAATATAAATAATGTTCTTTGAGGGAAATTGCAATGCGATCATCTTATACCTATGTCCTGTGCATCATCTAAAACCCTCTCACCATGCCCCGTACATACACCTGACAGGCCGTTCTTCATATCCAATTCCACAGCGTCTTACAGGCACTACAACTTCATTATAGCCGGAGAACTTGAGCTAACTTCATACACAAAAACCAATCATACTCCCTCACTGTCAGCTTTAAATGCGTGTAGCTTCCCGCAGCTATATAACATTACGCAGGCTATGACCTCCCAGTGACCTAAAAGTTGCTGCCAAACTTTTTTCCAGCGAACTTTATAAACGTGTCTGCTTTACATCACGTGCGATGGTTTCACCTTACTGTAAACATTAGTAAATACATCACCGGATTATCTTTTCATCTATGCGGATTAAAAGTATTTCTTTGGATGATGCATTTTAAGTGAACGGATTTCTATTGATTATTCCTACTTTTCGCTAATCACTGATACGGAAATTTAGTTCCAACTCGTCATATTGGACGTATGTATAGCAAAGGTAGTAGTCAATCAGCAATATTTATAGTGTGAATGTTTGTTCGACGAATAGAACGTTAACTTGTGAATATTTTAACATTTTGGATCAGATATGGACCTAAAGCTCAGGCCTAACTTCGAATGTGGTAGTCGGTGTAGTAGAACTAAAAGCAGTGTTCTCACTATGAAGAATTCTTTCACACACATCAGAAAAAAAAATCACGGAAAAGGCGTTTAGACATGTGTTTAGTTGTGAAGAGATTGTGACAAAAGTAGGAGGAGCAACACGTTGTTGTCTTCGCCATTCGTGTATTGTTTTCCTTGTTTGTTTTTCATTTCGTCTTCTAAGTGACCATGAAACAGATATTAGAGGAATAATCATTTTATACGTACATAACTTTGCATGCCAAATCATAGTATACTGCTATAGAATTTATAGATCACGCTATAGGATACATTTTCTAGAATATGATCAGTAAAGCTTGAAAGGACAGTAAAAAAAGATGCATTTAGATTAATTTTTATCTTTTACAGTTCTTGTAACAGACATTCGTTCTAAAATTGAATCGGTGTACGGTAAAACAACAGAGAATGCTTCGTTACAAAGACGAGTCCGGTAAAAACAAATTTAAGACCACATACCGGCTAGAAACAATCCAAAAATATTACACATGTAGCTTACTATGTGGTGACAATATTAGCTTGAACACGCCGAATAAAAGTTATTCTGGATTTGTGAGGAACAACAACAAAATATTAGATTCAACTCTTCCTAGTTCTATTTACCATGTACGGCCTGGATAATTTTCGTGAAAAATATATGGCTTCTTTTGATGGAAAGTAATCTGTACCATTCCATACAGGATACTTTACTTTTTAGTAAATATATTTCACAAGGTATGTAACGTTACTATGTTGAGAAAGTGTGGTTTTGTCTGTCTGCATATGTGATATGTTGAACCAAAAGTATACCAGAATAAAAGAAAAAAATAAGCCATGAAAGATCCATAGAGAAGCGTCCAATTATAGTTAATCTGGTAAATCGTTGCTATCCCCGAGTCATTGTGGTAAAAATAGGAGTAAAAATTGATCGCTTTGGTGGGTCAAGCCGCTTATGTTATACATTATTTAAGAACAAAATGTTCTGTGCTCTGTCAGAGAAAAATCAGCTTCGCCTCAACCATAATTACAATGGTACTACTGGCTAGACCGTTTTCTATAAGTAATATTAAATCGGCAGAGAACAAAATTCAGTCTAAATAGCCGGTTTTAAATAAAAAGGGGAGAGAACGAAACATATTTGATAAAGGATAGAATATGTTGGGACGTATGTACGTACTACATTCGGAAGTGTATCGTGACTAAATACCTTAAATGATTCAGTGGTAGCACGGTATCATTACTCTGTTTGACAGTGATTGATATAAGTAAATACATGTTATTTTCTTTATAGATAACGAAATAAACATATACTGGTTAGGTAAATGTCTGTGCGACGTAAAATGCAAACATGTGAACACTGTTTGGACCGACCGAAACAGACCTAATTCAGGGACATTGGAATACATGTCCATAGAAAATTGTCGACTTTCTGATATCTTCAACTTGCGATTAGAAGTATTCTGAGCAATTTCGATACTACATCTTGAAGATTTGTTAGTCTATCCAGCATCAACGCAACAGTATTACAAAATATAATTCTATTTTACAACGAGAGCTGTTCTTTCGTTGAGGAGTAGAGAGATATAGTAGGGAAAATATGCACAATACTCTTTTCTTGGCTTGAATGTTCGCTAGAATTTGTAGTTGATTAGCCCACAAAGCTCTCAGCAAAAATGATTTCCTGTTCTGTATTTTTTGTCTTCCCTCAACCGCAGCTGTTTTCAATATTTCTGTCGTACCCTTCGGACAAGGAAGTTGTATTCTCTGTGATATGAAACATACTCTGAAAAACAACGTATTGTGTGGGAGGAAACTGTGTAGTATTTGCTGAACAAGGTTTGTAAAGCAACGGCTTAATCGTAGCTAATATAGTGTTTTGTATATCTACTAAATGTGCTCAAAAACTAGGTGTACTTTAATACAAACAGTATAGTAGACGTTGTTCTATAGAAATGATATGGAACAGCAGAGCAACAGAGCATACCAACGCTCTGTCCTTCAGTCGGAAAACAAGCAGAGAAAAACCGTTTTTGTAGGGCATTTTTGCACCAGTCTTCAAGTTTTTCATGGCGAATAATGTCCTCAAAGTAAAATATAGAATCCCCTTGATAATTTTATAATCTAGTAGAATATATACAACAAGAAAGAGAGCTTAGAAATGCGTGTATAAGAATGTTAGTTTCCGCGTTTTGAACAGTGGCTACAGTATCGCTCGTTCATGCTTTATGTAAGTACGCGTCTAAACTATGCAAAAATGTATTAAATAACTGACATAATCCCACATTTATATATTTGAGATACACGGGCACATGTAGTTGAATATATGAAGGATAATAATTTTCAGAAATCCAGCGTGGAAAAGGACAGTTGGACAGGTAAATTAAGTGTAAGGAAAAAACTGTATGTACACAACTTGATTTTCAGTAGAAACGTATTGCCACATACACAGTGTTTTCATTGTGTGCTTGATTCACAACTCATGCCATTTCTGTACTTGAATTGTAAGAAATCCTGTCCTAAAAAGAATTGGTTTATAGAATTCTGATAAAGAGTTGCGTCCTAAAGCAAGATTTTTCGTTAGCTACTACATGCTACATGTATGTTACAGGTAGCAATGGTACATAGATGGCCTGTCTTTTACTCAATGTTCATAACCAAGTGTTAGCTACTATACAGAATCTGTCTATGTATCGTTGACATGATTCGTCCATATTCTGATATGAACATATATTCTGCTCTCTTTTTCTAAGTTTTACGGAATTAAATCTACTCTATGTCACTGATCGAAACAAACTCGATGTGTTGCCTACCAGAAAAAAACGTCTTCTAAATCGAACTAATTTTGAAAACGCTTTAGGTCAAAAGTTTTGTCTTCGAAATATGCTCTGTCTATCTGTGGTTTTGAAGCGAGCCAAGTTGTGTTGCCTTGTTAGAACTAAACTACTTCCGTGTTCTTGAAACATACTTTTTCTAGTCACCGTACATAAAAAATACTACGCCCCTTTCCACTATATATATATTTCTTTTTACTTTTTGTGTGTTTTGTTGTCTTTTAGATCGTACTTTTACATCTTGCATTCCAGTTATGAAATTTAAGTCCAAATGCACAACTCTAATGCTGGTTGTTGTACAGTCACTCATTTCAGAATTACCATCTAGTAAAAAGAGAGTTTATAGTTCATAATATAGACCGCTATGTAAGATTCTACACTTACCTTCCTTGATATGTGTATGTGTATCCTCTTCAGTTTCCGTCGAAGTCAATGTGTACTATTATGTATGGGTGAGGGTGGTGATTTTGTTTTAATAATGGGAATAGCTGCAGCATGTTGACAGTTGAATTGCTGTAGTTTATATATACTTACTTCTATATATCTTGTTCATCGTTAAATTGTTGTATTTTATATACTTACTACTATATCATATGTTGAATTTTCGTAGTTCATACACTGGTAAGCAGATAGAACTATATATTGTTGATGGTTGAATTGCAGTTTTATACTTATAATTATTTTATACTTGTTGATTGTTGAATTGTTATATTCAATATACTTACTACTATATCTTGTTGATAGATGGATTGTTATAGTTTATATACTTAGTAACATAACTTGTTGATCGTTAAATTGGTGTAGTTCATATACTTATAACTATAGGCTTTTAATCATTGAAATGGTGTAGTTCATATACTTATAACTATAGCTTGTTGATCGTTGAATGGTGTAGTTCATAAACTCATAAGTATAACTTGTTGATCGTTTAATTGTTGTAGTTAATATGTTTATTAGGATATCTTGTTGATAGTTGAATTGTTGTAGTTCATATGCTTGTAAAAATATCTTCTTGTTGGTTGAAATTGTGTACTTTATATACTGTATAAAGTACATATATATATATTACGGTGTGATATGAATATGGGAACAGTGAACGGCTTTTTGACACTGAAACGCGGTTTAATTTAGGAAATTACTTGGACTTTATGTGAGTAATCGGAAACTTATATTTGATTTAAGTAACCGACACGGACAATATGTAGCAAAACAGCAAAAACAAGAAATTATAGACGAATCATGTATTCAACCCACAAGAATATCCCTGTCCATTTCAAATCTCTCACCGTAGATACTATAAATGTGCAATAGTACAAGCGTTCTTCTAAATACACCACGCAATACAATTTTTTAAAGTACAGAATACATTTCTGAGTGTAGCACTGAATATCATAAAGATTTTCCATAGATTCTGAATGAAGACCCTGACAATAGAAATGAGGTATTCGTTGTGCAAGCATAGCAACATAGACCGTTTTAAGTACCATAATATTAAATCCTGTTCTCCGACAATATTTACGTAAATCCTTTCTTTACGCACATCGTAAACATTGCGAAAAGTTCTGTTTCTTTCCTTTACCTGTACATTTACGCATGTTTTAAGTTGTGCGTAAAGATTTTTTTGCAGTGAATATTTACCCACAAAAACAGCATGCTTCTTCTCTTTACCCATACATGTGTTATATCGTCTAGTCTTTAACAATCTACCACACATATCACCCGTAATTCTACTCTCAGTGTACCATCCAACTTATGAAGGCTGTATATAACACATATACCTTCTCACCCCATGCATATCTCCACCTCCTGTACATTTTAGCACGCCATAGAACACATACATTTGTTTGTTTTAAACCTGTAACGTTATACATACACCGCAACAATATCTACTACCAAACACTCAAAGTCTAGAAAGAGTTAGAGAAAGACCATGAGATTGTCATGCGAATATAGAACCATTTCCTTTGTGCATCTGTATAACACTTTATGAATTATCTCAAGGTGACCATCGATAAACGAACTTGATGAAAATTATACGTGTATAATAATCTGTGCATATATTTATATGTACCCTTTCAATTTTTCCTGTTATGTCCATATACCAAGTCTTTGCTACACTGCTGAATACTGGCAATTTTACGAAAATATCAACTCAAAGCATATTCAAAGGAACCTACTACTAGGTAGGTTGGCTATTACACTGTGTTTCCAAAGGCCTTAAAATACACATCTCAAGAATTTTTTTCACACAAAACAGATAAAGAAAATATTTCCTGGCTACAGCATTGCGATTTTTGTTACTGACAGAAATTTCTTAGTATCTCAAAATGTATCGATGTAGAGAAACTAGTACAGAGAACCCTGTTGCCCTAAGAAAAAAATACATACTTCCTTTTTTATATATGAAGACGCTATGGCACAGAGCTGAAATATAGAAGTTATTCTAAGGTTTGACAACTTAAAGTGTTGTGTGTTGCGTTTCTTTTTTTTCTGATCGGATCTGATATGAGAAAAGGGAACATTCTAAAAGATAGATATAGAGTTATAGAACGAGTCGGCTCATGTCTGGTTCATGGAGCGGAATTCCAGGCGTTTTTGTTTCATTCTGCGGTTCTGGAACCAGATTTTGACTTGTCTGTCGGTGAGGTTGAGTCTCTGGGAGAGTTCTAGTCGCGTCTCTCTGCTGACGTATCTGTTTTGGATGTACTCCTGCTCCAGGACAGAGAGTTGGTACTTGCTGTACGGACACCGCTTTTTCCTACCGCCACGTGCAACTGACTGGTCGGCAGCTGAAGAAAAAAAAACACAAGCAAAACACAACGTTAGTTAAACAAATCTGCTAAATTTTCATATGAAATACAAACATCTGCGGTCCAGGCAACCTGTAGGAGAATTAAAAAATTAGTAATTACTTGCAGGAAAGGTGTCGGGCTAAATACAAAGCATGGTTATGTTTCGTCTGAATGTTGTGTATGTAGGATGTTGCAGAATCTCGAGCTAGTTTCAGTACAGCCACCACATGTATGCATCTCACACGTCACAGAGAAAAACAAAAATACCGCCAAGCGTAGACCAGGTGGTAACATGTGGTTAGAAAGATCTATTTCAAGAAATAAAAATGAAGAAATTATGTGTGATGAACAGTGCTAAATGTACCGCGATGTTTTCCGTTTTTTATCTGACCACAAATGATACAGGTTGCCGATATATATATTCTGTTGGAAAGTGGACACTGTCCTCGACCACTGGTCTGGATAACAAAGGGTCAGTTTTGACCGCAAGTTAACGTGTCCAGGGGTCATCGTCCGGCCTCTAGCCTGTCTGATACCAGTTATCAAGACCAGGCCAGCTGACCCACCCAACATTTATTACACCTTGCACGCAAGAATCGACGCCATGTCCCCATATGACCTAGACGCATAATACAACTGTCTACTCTAATAATACAAGCGCTATTCTTATATTCCAACGGCCTGGAAAAGCAATTACAGATTACTTTTAATATGTATAATTAAAAATTGGCGAGCATCTTGACGTTAAGGTCAAGGTTTGTATGCATGTGTAGCTTATTTGCTCATCCATAAAGATATTAGTGATTTTTTTTTCTCAAGTGAATTTTGTATATGCAGACGTTGAATGTATGTTATATATAAATATCCGGTACGTAGTAGAAAAGAATTACAGCTTCGCTTGTTTAATTTAGAATGAAGCATTTATAAAGATTCTATTCTAGGATGGTAAGGCGTTAGCATGGAAGTGCAAATTTGACTACAATTTCACCAATGCAGAAGAATAATATAAAATGCTAAACGCAGTGTAAATGCTATCCGAATTCTTTGTGAATAAAATTATTTCCTGGAAGTTTTATCCGCAACTTTGAACATCAGTGAAGCGATTCTACCCCGAGTTATTCTTGATATGCAAATTCATCAAAAGTGCGTTGATATAAACATTTCAAATGTTGCCAATTTTCTAGATAAAAAAATGCTTAACAACGACTGATTCATGTCATTGAAATGTGCAGGAACATGTCTAGTAGAGAGATATTGGTAAGATTTTGTATAATTCGTTAGCGTTAGTGTTAATTCGATGCGTGAGTGTTGTAAGTGTGTATCGGCATGCTGTGTTGTAGGCGGCCGCCATGTTCGCTCTCAGTCCACGTGACAAGTTGTATTTTGCCTGGTCTTCCCGACATGTGAGCGAACCCAATGGAATTTTGATGGTTTAACGACTTAAACGCTTTGCCTTTGTGCTGCTATGATAGGCAGTCAATCATAGGAAATAAACGACTATTCCCGCCGAATATGTATATGAGCAACTGGATATTGGCTGGCGGAGGAACCACATGACAAGTGAGAGATAAAATTTAGAAACCATCCACGTTCCCGCCCCCTTTTTACAAACACGTTCGCACACATTTGCATGTAAGGAAAGTACATGTGCCACCTTAAGAATATTGATACATTTTTTTTCCCACCGCGCTTCGATTTAATTTTTTTTCTCCAAATTAAAATGTCACTTTTAGAGGGCAGGCATTTTTGTTTGACCTTCATGAAGGGTCAAAGGGGAATATCGATTACGTAGCTCGACCCTGTCACATTCAACAAGAATACTAATACTTCTTCTCTATTACCTTGCTTACTTTTAAATGCATAACGCTTAACTGCACACCTGGTTTGAATTTTAAACTAACCCACCTGCGACCACGGGCCCATCCGTGCCGTTTTTTGAAGCAGGGAGTCCCAAATTCTGGGATGGCCCTGCGACGGAATACCTACACGGGGGTAGCGACGAAGACGGGTCTAAAGTCCCCGGCGTACAGTTCTCTCTAACGCCGCCTGTCTTGTTCAAACCGTCGTGTACAGGATAGGTCTGCCCTCCACCGCCAAAGTTCTGAGAAAAGTTGCTCCCTGAGAAAATGGGGCCGAAGTCCTTAGCCTGGTTGTTCCAGGTCGGCTTGAGCAGGCTGTGGTCGTAGGAAGAGTAAGGAGGACAGAGGGCGTTGTTGTGCGGTCCAGTCGGCTGGGACTGCTGCCACCGTAGCGAGCAGCCCTGGCACGGGCACTGGTTCAACGTCTGCCCCATGGCCTGGCGTGAGTCGTACGGTCCCGGCCCGTGCCCTAGAAACTGGGAGTGATATCCCGTGTAGGATTCCATCGCCCCGAAATTTACTACACTCGCTGTTTGCCGCGCAAACGTCGGTGTATTCGGTCGAGGGGCGACTCCCTTATGCGCGTCGGACGGCTTGCTTTGTGACTGAAGGCAATTCCGCATGTCTGCCATGACCATAAATCACCCTCTTTTTAGTAAACAGCAGACAAGGCGGCGTGTGCGATGTGATTAAAAATTTCGATTTCAGAAAAGGGCTCAAAAGGGTCAATCAGGCAGAAGCTGAAAATTATCCCGACGACCCTTTATGGCATATTGCGAGCAGTAAGATTAAAGTCGCGCCCGGTAATACGGCACGCAGATATCATATTGGCACAATCATAACTTCTAGCACACGCCTACGTTACAAAAGCGAACAGCTAGATCGATATCTACAGTGCCATCACCTGTGCCCAATTGCCGATGGCGGTTCAGTTTTAGCACAGGACGTCACCACACTTCAAACTGTCCTCTTTCTCAAAGCCACCATTCAAGCAAAGGCGGGGTTTACTAAGATACAGGCTGGGCCACAACTTTTACAAAGATTCATCTACAAAAGAACGTCCTGTCGCGGAGTCTAGAAGGGTTTTGGCACACTCTACGCGAAATGTCACCGTTAGGACGACAGATTATATAGTGCAGACAGCAGGCGACATTCACACTATTAATTAGCCTCCGATGGCACCACGCCGAAGTCCATGAGCTTAGGAAGATTATTGTAATCACTTTTGTTAGATACACTGATGAGCCAACTTTATCCTTCTGGGGTACGCCGTCTCCAAAGCTTGGGAAAACGCAAATGGTTTTATATATCAAATGAATTTGATCAGCAAAGAGAGATGGCGAGAGTGTACCAGTGTCATAAAGCAATCGTATTAAAATCAAGTCTCAGCATCTAGAGCTACGCCCTCTGCTGTACGCAACGAAAAATGCAGCTGTGCGCCTCTGCTCTCTTTGCTTTTATTCTACAGTACAGCAAAAAGTTAGAGTTCTTAACTTTTTTGTTCTCTTCAGGAAAATGTGTCCTAATAAGAATTCCTGTCATGAACAGGGACCGGTACTTTGCAATCGGGTTAGTCAGAAGATGACTGTCTTTGTGTAGTGTCATGGTCCTGTCTCGTCATGCAGACACAGGATGCTTCAGCTTAGCTCTAGTTCGTTAGCCTCTTCACCCCTAGTCTGTCCCTCGGAGAAAACATGTAATGAAAAGGGATATATCATAATCTCCCCTCGCTAAACGCACAGAGAGCCTCAATTACGTTTTTTTCTCTAAGCATCACGAATGATACTGAACTCTGTCACCCCCATATCCAGTTTTAATGAGGAGAGACTGTCATAAATATAATTTGTAAAACTGACGAGGTCATGTTGAGTTCTCGATAGTTTCAGGGTGTGTGTGTGTGCTGTGAGCAAGCTGGGTTCCGTACGGTTTCTCAGATGCCGGCTTCTATTGGTAGATGAGACAATTTGATACGCTGCCAGTCAACCATTCCAGTTGAAGTATGTTTCATGGCTATAAATCATCTGGACGTGAAGGAATTTCAGGCAACTTTTTTTTTTGCAAAACTACCGCTAAGTGTTCACGTCTTGCGTTAATAGATGAAAAGATGACCCAGGTTACTGCTAGATTTACCACTACAAGAGACTGCTTTCCTAAATCTGATTGTATCTTCTTGAGCCTGAATCTTTACACATCAAGTTCACGTACATATCTGATGGATTGAGGACAGACATTTTGATAACAGGTTTGATCAAAACTTTTATATCACGCCGTTGCCATCAAGATTGCACCATCATCTTCCCAACGAAGTGCGCTTTTTTGTAGCTTCGGAATGGTGCAGATTCGAAAGATAGCAGTTCTTCTTCCAAACTATCACCCAGGCGGTTGAGATTCTATCCAATTTTACTATCAGTGTACCTTGAGACGATAAAATGTCTTGGACTGTATTTCAGTCGAGGTCACGTCGCAAAAAATACACAAATCAAAAGTGGACAAGTTCTAGCTGTTTCACACAGCCTGACCACGCCGGCATAAGAAACGAGGATCTCTAAAATGTTCAAAGATTCCACCAATGGCGAAAATCGGTTTCTTAATTACAGTGCCAATGTCCGGTTCAATCTACAGCGAGTGGTAAAAAAAAGACAGTTAAAATGATAACATCAGGGACTAGTCTAGACGTTACAAAGTTTCCCCTCGCTGTAAAAACTTCGCCTATTTGTACGTAATTATATCACAGGGGATAACAGGTTGATGTTTAGACCATGGGGATTTATTCATGATTTAAAACCTCAACCAGAACAACGCGGGATTCCTGTCAGAAATGTATTCCTTCTGAGCGACAGCGGAAACTTGTTGGCGACGATGTTTCGTTAGCGAACACTTAACCCCGCTTAATTTGCAGCAACGGTCGTCGCCAAGGTTTTTATAGCCATAGTTAACTATGCCTTTCTGATTTCCAACCTGGCGCCTCCGTGTATTGTAGAAAGACGACGGGGAAAAGGGGTCAAAATGAACACCATCAGACTAGCGCTAACGAAGTGGAATTGTTGTATTAACGTTTACGAGGAAGTCCCGGGTCACTAGCGTAACTGTGAGAATGCACACCCGGCGTGTGAGTGCTGTGCCACGGTGAGAGCTAGCTCTGTCACTCCCTGAAATATCCGAACACTGTACAGACATTGATGACAAATATAATTCCAATCCGTCATAACAAAAAAACGAAAGAACCCAGGAAAGTACATTTACCACACTATATCGACTACACACAGATATAAACGTGTCAGTTTCAATCAAATTTTATTCTTTAACGCACTGGTTTATAGTGTACACGTAAAAAGAGGTTAAAGTTGAAAGACAATCTCAGGTCATGGACATGATGTTCTAAAATGTAACTCTTATTTCTCCATTGTTTCTGCATTTAATCCTTTCCTGTTTTCTGACAAGTGTGGTATGGAAGTTGTCGTCGGCTTGGACAGGCTCGATTTTACAAGACAGATTTCTAAACATTTCTTTCGTTTAGTTCTTAGTATTTTGTTCATTTGAGAAGGAACGTAATACAAAATTTCAAAATGTAACTTGAAAAAGGACATTTTTTCATTTCATTGCTCATATAAAAATCATCCATTAAATAATAGAAGCAGTTAGGACATTTTCTTGTATGAATGTGTAGATTAGAACATTGTATGTTATGTTTTAACAAAATAAATGTAGCTAGGCGGTATACAGTCTCTACAGTGATATCTATGAAAGCTTGTGTTGTGTGTATATATTCCCTACTGCTCGTATTATAAAGGCATTATCTAACAAAGGATTATCTACGTGACTGATATATACACTGTATCTAGGAAGAAACAGCCGGATACAGAGAGATATTCAGAATTCGTATTCACATACGGCGAACACAACGACTTGATACGGGTATATAACATAGAGAACGGTACAAGATAAAATAACATGCAATAGTTGAGTACATTGCATCGTGTTTTAGAAATCTACTAGTAAGGTTCCAATGACTTTGTTAAATCTTTAATCGAAATGGTGTTCACTGTACTGTCCATGAAACATGTTTCTCAACTGTAAATGTAAATGGGACACAACACAGCAAAATAGCATTCAAATGGATAAAAAAACAGTGTTTCTGTATAAGTATAAATAAGTAGGGTATGTCTAAGAAACTGAAACGTATCGTTCGTAAAGTAATCGTCAGTAAAACTGCTCATGAAGTAAGAAAAAGACAGGAATACCTGAATAGTTTCCGAGCATTTTTGTGAACAGCTTTATATACGCCGCCATATTTGATTTGAACCAGCTGTTCTTGCTGTGGGATCTGCTACGTTAAGAAATGTTTTTGATAAAGCCAAGAAAAGCCAAATTTTATTTTAAAAAATCACCAATTTCTTGCTGATGAATTCTAAAACAAATCTAGAAAATTAAACTAATGGCATATATTACGTCACATTACCATAATAGTAAGCTACGAACCTGAATAAAGTCGTTTCAAAATATGTTTTCTCGTAATGTCTCTTGTATTGATATTCACGTATCCATACTTCTGATTTTTCATACTTCCATACTGACAAAGATATACAGAATAAAGTGCTCATGCTTGTGTATAAATCTAAATCCATTAAGTATTCTGTTGTTAAATGTGTATTAATTATTTTGGATCTAAAACACAAATGATGGCCTTCTTTTCTTAACATAATAGTTTTAATGTCAAAAAGTACTTAGACCACAGGAACGACACGTATAGCGAATTCCTGCCACTCATCATCAAGTTAACACAATAAAATTGGTTAGATTTTGTATCTTTATTATTCGTCTGAAACATTATTTACTAGACATTGCTGTAAGAGTTTTTTTTCATATTTTCACCAGAAAGCGATTTGTACTTTTTACCGGCCCAGTGTTATACAGGTTTCAGCTAAAACTGACACGCATATTTCTTGTAGAACATATGTCTCTGACTGTCAGGAAACAGGAAAGTGTTTTATGTCATTCTGCTTAACATTGAAGAAATATAGTTTTGCTCTTCTATGATGAGCAGTGGTATGAATCGACTGGAAACGTAGTAAGTTTGGCCGATCATTTGCCTATATGTACACTGTAAATATATGTTTTTAATGTGAAAATATATTTGATTACTCAATTCTTTGGTGACTAGGAGCAAAAATAATACACCGTTGCTACATTTGTCTCATATCTTAAATTTACATTGAATCTATTTTCTAGCATTTCTTAAAATCTACATGATAAAAAAAAGAACCTGTCGGTAGCCCCGTGTACTAGATATCCTGATAGACATTCTACTGAGGGAAGATCCTCTCTTATCCTATCTCTAATGTCACATTGTACCTGCCCTTGGCATGCCACCGTCCATCACTCGGCTATGAACCCGAAATTTATCCTCTGACGGTGCGGGTGTTATATCAGTAATGGTCCGGGTTCGGTCTTAGTGGGTGTTTCTCCGATGGAGCGGATCTACATGACCTAAGCTGTAACCCTCGAAAACAAGAGGGGCAAAACGGAGGTTAAGCTAGGCTAAAATAATCCATTCCTATTGATCTCACTAACTCAGGATCCTCCCGGGTCAATTTTTATGAAAATCTTAAGCTTGTATAAAATTTCAAAAAAG